AACCGCTCGAGATAATTTCCGATATTTTGTAAGCAAAGCAGTGGCATGAATGAGTTTCAAGCGAGAGCCACCAAACTATGGCAGACAAACTAACGTCTAAGTATATGGCGAATGTACCAGTGTTTTAACGCGACTTGATTAACGTTTTCTACCTTAATGTATGCCTAAACATATGCATGTGTGCCTTACCAATTGTAACACATTTTGTGGAGGGCAGTTTAAAAAATACAAATCGACAAGTTGTTTCCTTTGACACGAGTCTGCCTACACAATGTTCACGATATGTAGGGGACGGTGGTATTTGAGTACAGGTGCCATACGGTCGGATTTAGGGCCTAAATGTAACACCAATGTACCGGACTCTAGTCAACGAGTGGACTTCACGCTAAGGTTCAGAAGATCGACAGCCTGCTCTGGTGCTCTTCACATAAAGTATAACTAATTTGGATAGCAGAGGTGTTTGCTGGCGGCTACAATCCAAAGCAGATGGGAAAGTACAACGTACTCGATAGATTATTGGTAAATCCAGCGCAAGAAGCTGACGGCGGCTACTCCCGACACTGAAGACCAACCAAAGCGGCAGATCCACTTTTGTTCCAGCTGGAACGTCCAGATCTATGTCCTCCTCGTCGTTTAAGTCATCGGAGGTGCCTCGGCTGCCTCGAGGCTGCTGTGTGCAGCACGCACCCAAAAGCAGAGGTGCCAGTTTGGGAATGGAGCTTCGAAGGCGACAGGGCATGCGCTCACTTGTGGCCAGAATGTCATCTACGCTCAGGTAGGCCCCATGGTGGGCGAGGGATAAGGTCCAGTCAAACTCCTGGAAGCCCACTAAAACTGAACTCATTGACTGCCAAGTGTGATAGCAGCGATGGTGGAAACAAAAGCAGAATAAACGTTGAAGCGGTGTAAATACTTGTGCAGAAGGGGTGACGTGCTAGCAGATTGCTTGCGCCTAAGTAGGTTACAAACGCAATAGTCGAGTAGTTAGGGTGGGAAAGCACCAGAAAACAATTCAATTTTAATGCACTCTTCTAATACAGAACCACTTGCAGTCATCCCAGGTTGCTTATGAAGGGGGAGGGGGCTAAAAGCAGGTTTGGAGCATACGGCATTTTCCCGCATATAAAATAACGTCAGGTGATAGGCATAAAAAGAACTTACAGTGCGCGAAAGAACGGAATCAATAAGTTACTTTACAAGAGAAATCTTTTGCGATGTTTACTCTTCGCTATCCTTAGAAACATCTTATGTTACATTTTTCGTGAGATAGTACCTATTTTTTCGATGTTCAGTCCTCCGCTTCATGTAAGTTGACCGTGTATGCAATGGTAGCTTTTCATTAAAATCAGTACTTTCGAGGTCACCTATTACAAAGCTAACCAATGTCCTCAGTTCATTGCCTCATGCCTCAGCCAGTAAAGGCCGCGTCTAGGCAAGATGACATTACGACCTATTTCGTCATAAAGTCGACATAAAACATAGTGGAGTAATCGGACTTGGCTTAGAGAAGAGGTCAGAGAACGAAGCATAATTATTACTGATGCAAAATCTCTAATTGAGAAAGGCAGTTTGACTTTAGAGCAATGCATCACTTCTGCATAGAATGGCTGACTTGAAGGAAACATCTGATAATTTGAAGCAAGACAGAATATCAGAATGTATTCGCTCGAATAAATTTCGAGAGCGCTTTTCAGCTGCTTCCGCTCCGTGCATGAACAACAACATTGGCCGTTCGCAAAGGCAATTGGCGACCAGGGCTGCTGAGCATTTGCCCATTTGGCTTTTAAAACAGGAGAACAAAGTACCACGTTCATCTATTACAAAAC